ACCTCAGGCCACCAAATTCGCAGGTCCTACAATCTAGTACGGCAGCCACGGTCCCCACCATCCATCCCAACCTGCACCTAGCCCCGCCCCGCTCACCTGGCCCCACCCCTTCCCGCCTGTCACTTAGCTCTGCGCAGTGTCGCCTATAGCCCCGCCTCTTTCCGGCCCCCCTTCCTTCCAATGGCCCCGCCCCTTACCCCCCGGTCCCGCTGCTTCCCGCGCTGGGTCCCGCCTCTCACCTGCCACTGGCCCAACCCCTTGAATCTCCCGACCACGCCCCCTCCGCCAGTAGCCCCCCCCGGCCCCGCCCCCTCTTTCCCGGAGGCGTGGCCCCGCCCCTCTCTCCAGCCTCCCCTTCCCCTCCCCCCTCCCCGCATCCGCCGGCTGCTGAGCTCGGCCCCGCCTCCGGCTTCACCGCCCCTAGCGTGCATGGACGCACCCTCACGTACCGGCCCCCGGCCGCCATCCCTGGCCGTCCTCGCCCGCGGCCGTGGGCGCAGCTGCCGCCATCGCCTCTGCGCAAACGGCGGGTTCCCGCACTCCTTGGTGACGGCCCTCACCGCTTCCGGGGCCTCTCGGCTGTTTCCGGATCCGCTCGGCTGTTTCCGGATCAGCCCCGGGCTCCAGGCCGAAGCCAGAGTTGAGGAGGATTGCCGAGCCTCAGCCGAAGACTTCCGAGTGCACTCCGGGCCGCAGCTCCAGGCCCCGCCCCTCTCTGCCTTCTTTCCTGGGCAGCGCTTTGTGAAAAAATTCTTTCATCAAAGGCCTTCTGGTGTCTCCGTGTGACCTCAGAAGCTCTACTCAAATTACACCTCCTCCGGGACGCCCGCCGGCCTCAGCCTAAGGAGGGCGAAGCTCTCGCGTTCTCTCCCGAGCCCCGGAGCCGGTCCCTTGATCGGTGCCTGGCCGCCCTTCCGCCGGAGCCTGGTTCACATTACAGCGAACTGTGGCCTCCGCCCTCCTGAAGCGTCCCCCCGCCGCAGGGCTGGGTTGGCTGCACTTGTCTGGGCGCCTGAGTCTCCGCGTAGTTAGTTGTAGAAATCGGAAACTTCCACGTCCCCACTGCCACTTTGACGTTCCACCAGTCACTGCTCCCTGCTCGTCCCTCCCCCACTCCCAGCGCCTCTCAAATCCCTCTTACCTCGGGCACTGCCCTAGGTCAAACTCTCATTAGCTGTGGCCTCTCCCTCCAAGAGCCGACCTGACATCCCCCCGTGGCCGGCGACAGGCCGCTCAAACTTAAGCCCAGAGCCTTGACTCCTCTTCTCCCAAACCCGTCTCTCCCTCTCTGAAGTCCACTCCAGGAGCCTGGAGGTCCTTGACTCTTCGTGTCCTCCTGCAAGTCCTGTAAGCTCTGCCTCCAGAGGACTGCATATTCCAGAACGTGTCCGTTTTGGTTCATCTCCAGCGCTAACACCCAGCCCCGGTCTCCATCTTCTCTCCTGAACTTCCACAGTGCTTCCTCACTGTTGCCCCTGTGTCGCCTTTTGGCCCCTTCAGTTAATTCTCAAAGCAACTAGAGTGATCTTCGTAAAACACAGATCGTGTCTCATAGCTGCTTAGAATCTTCTGGTTCAATCCAATTTGAAAATGGGCGAAGGACACGAATGGGCATTTCACTGATGTCACAGATGGCAAATATGTGCACGAAAAGATGTTCAACATCATTAGCCATTAGGGAAATGCAAATTCAAACCATCAGGAGGTAGCACTACACATCTACCAGGATGGTCAAAATGAAAAAAGAGTGATAATACCAATTGCTGGTGAGAATATGGAGAAATTGGGTTTCTCATACATTCCAGATGGGAATGTAAGATAGTCTAGCCACTCTGGAAAAGAGTATGACAGTCTCTAACAAAACTAAACATGATCTTACTTGAACCGACCAAGCTTTTCCCCACCTCAGGTCTCAGCTCAGAAGTCACCTCCTCAGCACGGCCTTCCTTGACTGCCGTGTCTAAATTAGCCACCTCTGTCACCTGTCTGCCATTAAGCATATCAGAGACTTCTTACCATCTGAAGCTGTTCATTGGCTAGCTCGCTTAGTACTTGTCCCCCTTAACCCTTCTGTGGCCCCAAAACTTGAATCGAAGCTCCCTAAGATTAGGAACCTTGTCTTGCTTGTCTCTTGCTGTTCGCCCAGCTCCTAGCCCAGTGCCTGATAAATAAACATAGTAGTAAATAAACATCTGGTGAATGAATGAACAAACACTTTCCTTACTTATCTCTCTGGCCTCCCTCCAATTGCCTGTCCACACTGTAGCCAGGGGGAGTTTTAGAAAATGCAAATCAGGCCAGGTCAACTCCTGGCTTAGGGATCCCCAGTAGCTTACTGCCCTCAGTAGCTAGTTTCCTGTCCTCACACTCTCTGTGTATGTGGCAGGGTCTTGGGAAGGGATGACTGTAAATAAGGCTCCAGTCAACTATCAGGCTTAGATTTTATCCTGAGGCCCTGGGAGATGCTGAAGGCTGTTGAGCACATGACTAATACTGAGGAAGCTCTCTCTGTGTAGCGCGCAGGTGGGAAGCAAAAGAGAGAGAAGATAGCCCACAAAAGAAACTGCTGAGATGGTTTTTTTTTTTTTTTTTTTGAGGAAGATTAGTCCTGAGCTAACTACTGCCAATCCTCCTTGTTTTGCTGAGGAAGACTGGCCCTGAGCCAACATCCATGCCCATCTTCCTCTAGTTTAAACGTGGGACGCCTGCCACAGCATGGCTTTTGCCAAACGGTGCTATGTCTGCACCTGGGATCCAAACCGGTGAACCCGGGCCGCCGAGAAGCAGAATGTGCGAACTTAACCACTGCGCCACCGGGCCAGCCCCTGAGATGGTTCTGGTTGGGAAGGGAAGAGACCAAAAAGAGGAGAAAGTTGATTCTGGAAATATTTAGGGTAGAAAATGGGCTAGCCTTGGTGACTGAGGGCACAGGGGGAAGAGAAAAGAAAGTTTTCTTTCATTCTTCCTAACTTCCTTCTTTTATACAACAAATAGTTATTAAGCACCTGCTAGATGCCATTGAACAAGACAGTAAAGATCCCTGCTGTCGCAGAGGGAACATTCTGGGGCAGGAGGCAGATGAGAAGACTAACAAATAAAGGAGCATGCTTTTGGATTGGGCAAATGCTGAGAAGGAAATAAAACAGGGGTGTGAGATCAAAAGTACCCCGAGGTGGGGGGGGGGGGTAAGGGGGTGGGGTCAGGGAAGGCCACTCTGAGAAAGTAACACTTGAACTGAGACCTGAGTAAAGAAAAGGAGCCAGTGGAGCGAAGAGCTGGGAAACGTAGATAGGGGTGGCCTCACTCAGGCCTTTGGAGGCCATGTTTTAGTGTGTTTATTTTAAGTAGATGAAAAGCCACTGAAATGTTCTAAGCAGGGGACTGACACGCTCTAAGCAAGAGGAGTCTGCGCGTGAGGCAGCTGGGAAGCCAATGACCGGGTTAGAGAGATTTCATGGAATGAAAGGCAAATGGGGTCTTGCCATCTCACCCTCTCCAATCCCCGATGCCCCACTCATCCCCCCTCCCAGCCAACCCAACCCAACCAAAGGGAAGTGGGGGCCCTGCCAGCTGGAGGGTCCCCTGGGGTTTGCCTGAGGCAAACAGGAAGCCACAGCCCACTGAGCCGGGCCTGGGAACCAGCAACTAAGAAAGCGGGTCTTCTGGGTCCCTGGACCCTTTTCCTGAGTGACTGCAGCAGTGAAAGACATAGAGCTACACAAACAGAGAGACAGGGAGGGAGAGAGATGGGGAGGAGAAGAACAGATTTAAGAATCTGGACTCCTGGGGTTCTAGTGCTCAATGTACCACCAGCTTACCGTGTGATCTCAGGCAACCCCCTGCCCTTTGGAGGCCTCAATTTCCCCATCTCCAAATGAGTACCTTCCATAACTGAAGCAGGACTTCCTGGGAAAGAACTGGGAGAAAAACAGGCATTATCATCAGTTGTTTCTCAGGGCCGCTGCAAAGGAGCTGCAGTGGCAGTCTGGCTTGAGCTCTTAGCCATTAATTGATGCTGTCTCTCATTAACAGAGGCCTACTGTGTGCTAGTGGCTGGGCTAAAAATGCCATATGTATATTGTCCTGTTTTTGCTTTTTTTTGGGGGGGGGGGGAAGATTAGCCCTGAGCTAACTGCTGCCAATCCTCCTCTTTTTGCTGAGGAAGACTGGCCCTGAGCTAACATCCGTGCCCATCTTCCTCTACTTTGTATGTGGGATGCCTACCACAGCATGGCTTGCCAAGTGGTGGCATGTCCGCACCCGGGATCCAAACCGGTGAACTCCGGGCCGCCAAAGTGGAACGTGCAGACTTACCCACTGTGCCACCGGGCTGGCCCCTTGTCCTGTTGGATCCTTGCAAACAATATTCTGATAGTACTATTATTATCCCCAGTTTACAGAGAGAAAAACTAAGGCTTAGAGAGATGAAGAAATTTAGTCAAGAGGCAGAGGTTGAGGATTGAACGTCAGGTCTGCTAGGTCCCAAAGTATGTGTGAGGGGCTGGTTGTATGGAGGTGGGAGGAGCCCGAGAAATGTTGGTTGAATGAATGAATGGTGTGTGTGTGTGTGTGTGTGTGTGTGTGTGTGTGTGTGAAGGGAAGTGGATTTAGAGCCTGGGGTTGAAGAAGAGAGGAGGAGGAGAAGGCGGAGCCCCTAAGACTGGATCCACTCATTCAGCAGATATTATTTATTGAGGGCCTGACATGCCAAGCGCTATTCCAGGGCACTGTGCATACAGTGGTGAACAGGACAAAGTCTCTGTGGCAAGGGGCTCAAGTTCTAGTTGGGGGAACAGAAAGTGACCCAACAGACGCACAAATAAGATCACTTCACATGGTGGCAAGTGCTGGGATGAAAATAAACCAGTGTAGCAGGGAAGAGATGAGTTTTGCAGGTCTGGAGGGGTGCACGGCGAAGGGAGCCTGAGATGTGACCACCCCTTCCTCCCCCAGGGGACTGCCTGCCCGCCCCCGCAGACACCCATGGTTCAGTGCCCACCAGGCCCCCACCTGCCCCAGCATCCCCCGCGGCGAAGCTGGGTGCCGCGGGGAGTCTGGCCACCATGCCACCTCCTCTCCTCCTCTTCTTCCTCCTCTTCCTTACCCCCACGGGAGGCAGATCCCAGGAAGCACTGCTGGTGGAGACTAAAGGTATGTCCAAAGGGCATGGATGGAAGGAGTCGGGGCCAGAAACCTGGGTCCTGCCTGGGTGCCCTTGGCCAAGTAACTTACCCTCGCGGAGCCTCCATTTTCTTATTTGTAAAATTCAGGGAGGGGTTGGAAGGACTCTGAGGGCTCATCCACTCCCGGCTGGTGGGGTCGTCGGGTTTGTAACCCAGTGTGAGGAGGGAAGCGGGCTGGGGACTCCTCCTGCTCTCCTTCTCTCTCCACAGAGGGAGACAATGCTGTGCTGCCGTGCTTCAGTCCCTCAGATGGTCCCCCTCAGAAGCTGGCCCAGTATAAGGAGACAGAAGCTTTCTTACAGCTGAGCTCAAAGTTACGAGACCTGAGCATTCAGAAACGGCCCTTGGGCATCATGCTGCTCGTCTTCAACGTCTCTAACCAGATGGGGGGCTTCTACCTGTGCCAGCCGGGGCCCCCTTCTGAGCAGGGCTGGCAGCCTGGCTGGACAGTCAGCGTGGAAGGCAGTGGTGAGGTCCAGGCTGGGGTAGGGAGGGCTGGATGAGAAGAGGGAGGCCTCCCATGGATGGAGGAGTTCCAGCAGCTAAAATGGATCTGGAGGGAGGGGCTAGAGGGCCTGAGGGACAAGCAGAGAGCCAGTTTTAGGTGGCTCCTAAAAACTCCTGTGGCTTTGTGACTTCAACACTGAGATGCTCTGTCTCTCTCCGTCTTTCACTCTCTGGTCTCTGTCTGAGTTACTGTTTCTTTGTCTCTCTCTGGGTCTTTTTCTTCGCTTGTCTCTGCCTTTCTGGGTCTCTGTATCTCTCTGCCTCTCCTGGATGTTGCCGTATTTGGTTCTGGGTCTTTTCCCAGGGAAGCTGTTCCGGTGGAATGCTTCAGACCTAGATAACCCAGGCTGTGGCCTGGGCAAAAGTTCCTCAGAAGGCCTCAAGACCTCTTCTGGTCACCCTGCAAGCTCCCAGCTGTATGAGTGGGCCAAAGACCAGCCTCATATCCGGGAGACAGCCCTTGAATGTGCCCCAAATAGGAGCAGTCTGAACCAGAACCACAGCCAAGGTAAGGTGCTGGGGACATGCCAGGAAGTAGGGGATCCAGGGATGGGGGATAGTGATTAGGAACTGGAGAGTTTGTGGAGGAGGACACTCCAAGGACTATGCTTTCTTAGCTTTGGCTCTCCCTGCCCTAGACCTCACTGTGGCCCCTGGCTCCACACTCTGGCTGCCCTGCGGGGTGCTCCCTGATTCCATGGTCACAGGCCCCGTCTCCTGGATCCACATGCATCCCAAGAAGACTGCCTCAGTGCTGCGCCTAAACATGACGAAGGATACCCAAGTCAGAGAGATGTGGGTATCGGGCACCCTCAGGGGAGGGGCTGTTCTGTTGCTGCCCCAGGCCACGGCTCAAGATGCTGGCACCTATCATTGTTACCATGGCAACACGACCAGGGAGGTGCACCTGAAGGTCACTGCTCGGGCAGGTAGAGTCTCTCCGAGTTGTGGGGCATCTGTGTGGGGCTACTGGGAAGAACTAGAAGCCAGTCAACCTTGGCCCCCCAACCTGAGGGCTAGTACCAGCCCCATCCTGAACCCTAACCTCTGAAGACCAACTTCACCTCCTTCCTCCCTCGCTTCCAAGACAAGGTCTTGGTCTTCCCCTACCACTGGTTGCTCCTTCCCCTCAGCTTTGGAAGAGTCTTCCTTCCTCCCTGACTGCTCACTGTTGGAGCCCTGAGCCCTCTTCTTCTCCCTGTCTACGCTCTTTCATCCTTGTCTACACACTTTTCTTGTTTGACTTCCTTAACTCTCATAAAGTGGCTCCTTAGGCCACTATGCTTTGGTGACTCGATTCTAGGCTCCATAACCCCCACACTCAGCCATCTCCTGGAATTGCCATTTGATGTCCCACGGACACAACAGGCTCAACATATACAAAATCAAACTCAACATCTTCCCCATGCATAGTCTTCTGGGTGGCCCTGTGTCAGCGAAGGACATTATCACCTGCCCAAGTGCCCAAGCCAAGAACCTGGGTATCCTTCCTTTTTCTCTCACTCATCCATCAAATTGGTCAAAATGTTCTGCCCATTCTGTCTCCCTTAATACAATTCTACTGTGCTACCCTAACCGCAATTCTCAAACTCAGCATCAACTTTCACTCCAAACTTGACCTCAGCGCATTTCTGCATCCCACTTCTAACCTTGTGAACTCGATTCTGCCCTTCACTTTGGCCATGGCTGTCCTTAAACTGCAGCAGGAGACTGATCATCACGCTTCCCTTAATCCTAACATTGCCTCTGACTATAGTCATGGTTTGTTTGTGGTTTGCTCAACAGATACTGCCCCAGGCTCCATGTCAGGCTCTGTGACACAATCCCTGACCTCGGAGGGAGGGAGAAGAGCCCTCCTTGTAGCTTGGGACTTTGAAGATCTGTGTGTTGCCCCTGTCCCCCAGACTTAGGGCCCTTTGAGGTCTTGATGCTGGGAAGCAAGATGCCAGCCTGAGGTCCTCGTCTCATAGCTCCTTCCCCCTAGCTGTGTGGCATTGGCTGATGGAGACTGGTGGCTGGAAAGTCCCTGCTGCAACTTTAGTTTATCTGATCTTCTGCCTGAGTTCCCTCGTGGGCTTTCTTCATCTTCGAAGAGGTCAGTCATGTCTCCCAGCTGGTCTGTCCAATCTTCCTCAGGAAAGCCTGCACTGGCCAGTCTGACAACCATCTTTCTCTCCTCTCATATCTCCCCCACAGACCTCAGAATCCTGCTCCTCCCACTCCTCCTCAAAGCCCCCTCCAAACTTCCTGGGCCCCTTAGAATTTGAACTCCTATCTCCTCCATTGACCCAAGTGACCTCCTCAGCACCCCCTAAATCTTCACCCTGCCAAGCAGGCTCTCCTCTGATTACTCCTCTTAACTCCTACCAGCCCTGATCCTGAGGAGGAAAAGAAAGCGAATGACTGATCCCACTAGAAGGTAATGATGCCGAGTGCCATCTCCCACCCCCTCAGTCTCCCACTCCTGCACTTTCACGTTCTGCTTCACTGTTCCTCGCCCAGGGTCTTTTATCCATCGCTACGGTTATTGCCCAACCTTCAAAGCCCAGCTCCAAAGCTACCCACTCTGTAAAGACCTCCTTGGCGTGATCCCAGACCCCTCTGTAGGCTGCCCCAGCACAGAGGAGCTAATTACAAGTGACTCTATTTTAACCTCTGAGGGCCTGGCCTGAATCTTTAGTGTGTCTCCCAGTCCCCTCCACGCCTGGCCTCACAGGGCAACTCCCCTTCCTCCGCCAGGTTCTTTAAAGTGACGCCTCCCCCGGGAACCGGCGCCCAGAACCAGTATGGGAATGTGCTCTCCCTTTCCACGTCCTCCTCTGGCACGGGTAGGAGGCACCACCAGGTCTCTAACTCAGAGCTAGAGCCTCACCCATTTTCCCCATCCCTCCAATCCCCTGAGCCCCAAGCCTTCCCGACCTCGGAGCTCCGCCTTCAGAAAAAAGAGCCCGCCCCCGGGTGCAGCGTCCCGCCCTGGTTTGAGCCCCGCCCCCAGAGCCAAGTCCCACCCCCAGGGCTCGGGACTTAAAGTCCAGTTCCGAGAGCAGAACCATCCTCGAGACTTGAGGCCACGCCCCCTAGATTTAGATCCCGCTCCCGGGGCTTAAATGCCGGGCGTCGAGACCCGGAGTTCTTCCGCAGAGCCTGAAGCATCTTCTCCCCTTGCTGCGCCTCGCAGACCCTTAGCCCTAACCGCCCCCATCTCTACTCACCTGCCTCCCTACAACGCTCCTCTCGCCAGGACGCGCCCTGCGATGGGCTTCAGGCCTGGGGGCCACCGTCCCGCCCTACGGAAGCCCGCGCAGCCACGTCCAGGAGGCCAGAGCCGCCGGGTCCCGGAGCCCGCCCGGAGCGGGTGATTAGCGGCGGCGGGGGCGGGGAGCGTATCGTTGCTCACATCGGGGTTTTGGAGCCGTCTGTAGTGAACTGGGGCTTGGAAGAGGGGGCCGTGACTCGATTTCCCACCCGCATCCCCAAACCCCAGGCCCAGAAGAAGAGGAAGGGGAGGCCTACGAGGAGCCAGACAGTGAGGAGGACTCCGAGTTCTATGAGAACGACTCCAACCTTGGGCAGGACCAACTCTCGCAGGGTAAGACTGCCCTTCCCCAGGGCTCCCCCAGCTTCTCAGCGGTAGGCTGTGGGCCCTCACTGGACCCTGCCTCCTCCACCAGATGGCAGCGGCTATGAGAACCCTGAGGAGGGGGCCTTGGGTGCTGAGGATGAAGACTCCTTCTCCAACGGTAATTTGGGATCCTTGTGGGGCCTCAGAGACTAGGGAGGATCCCCAGGTCTGTGGAGCCCCTACAGGGCAGAAGTGGTCCCTGGAGTTCTCTTTTTTCTGCAGCAGCTGAGTCTTATGAGAATGAGGATGAAGAGGTGGCCCAGCCAGTCACCAGGACAACAGGTGTGTGAGAAGAGGGTCACATTCCTCCTGGGGTGGAGGGGGCCGGGTGGTGGTGGGTGTGACCCGGAGGCCAGGAGGAATAGTGACTTCCCTCTTCCTTTTCCAGACTTCCTGAGTCCCCATGGGTCAGCCTGGGACCCCAGCAGGGAGGCAACCTCCCTTGGTGAGAAATGCTTGGGACCTGCCTGCCTTGCCCAGATTGGGTTGACCTGGCCTCAGCTCTGACCAGGCCCCCCCTTGACCTTGACTCTGACCCCAAATCCAAACCCAATCCTGACCTTAGATTTGACTCCTAACTCTAACCTCAACACCAGCCCCAACCGCAGTCCTGGCTCCCGTATTTACCCCGTCCCTAACGGTGAACGTCAATCCGGTTCCAGCCTGGACTTGGATCTCCATCTCACTCCAGCCCCAGTACAGACCTCAGCTCTCTCTGCAGCATCCTCATGATCCTGCCTTTGACTCCTTCCAATTCTGTTCTTGACCCTTTCTCTGAACATGACCGTAATCTAACCCACACCTGATCGAATCCTACAACTACAAGGGCCCTGAACCTGATGGCGACCCTAATCACTCCTTCCTAGTACAACATGGGTCAAGCCTTCCACCTTCTTCTGCCCCTCAGACTTCCTCTATACCTTAGGCAGCACTTCCCTTCCCCAAGTCCCCAGCATAGCTCCCAGGCCTCCAACTCTCCATCCCCTGTCCAAGCAGGGTCCCAGTCGTATGAGGATATGAGAGGGATCCTGTATGCAGCCCCCCAGCTCCGCTCCTTTCGGGCCCAGCCTGGTCCCAATCATGAGGAAGGTGGGTGCTACTACGGCTGTCCCATGTTGTCCTCTGAGGCTCACCCCCTTCCAGCCTCTTCCAGCTCTGTCTGTATCTTACTCCTTCCTGGTCCTAACCAGATGCAGACTCTTATGAGAACATGGATAATCCCGATGGGCCAGAACCAGCATGGGATGGAGGGGGCCACGTGGGGACCTGGAGCACCAGGTGATTCCCTTCAGGTGAGCTGAGAACTTCCCTCTAAGAAAGGGGGAGGAGGGAGATGAGCAGGGGTGGAAGTCCGGTGCTGGATCTCAGGGCAGCTGAAGGGAAAGGGTTCCCACAGCCTAGCTCCTGTATCCCTCCCCATCACAGTTTTTTCTACCTAGCCTGGGCCTCTTCAGGCCCCTGAGATCTACACCTGACTCTGAAATCTGGGATCCCAAACAGATGGTGTCAACGTCTGGAACGATGTGTGTATCTCTGTGTGCGTGTACATGAGCGAAACTTCAGCCCCATCTATGGTCCCAAATAAACTCAATGAGCTCTTCCAATTCCGTGATATAGTGCCCTTGTGTGGGAGGGGAAGGGAAGGTGAGGATGGGTGTACTCCCATCCCCTCTTGAATCCAGCAGAGGCTTAGGGAGAGCTACATTTCCAGGTAAAACAGGGCCTTTTCCCTCCTGTGGGTTGGCCTGCCATTCCCACCTTCCACTTATTCAGTCATTGTCCATTCAGCAGTTGTGTGCTGGGTGCCCAGTGAAGAGGAAGCAATCCAAGAATCACCACTGACATTTATTGAGCTCCTGCTGTGTTCTAACGTCAATTAACCCTTAATCCTTACGCTAACCTCACAAGGTTATTGAGCACTGATGTGCCAGGATTGTATCAAAGTATTTTGTATATATGTATGTTTATGTGTATTAGCTTATTGAATCTTCACAGACAACCCTATTTCACAGATGAGGACTAAGGCAGAGAAGCTAAATAACTTGCTCAGGCTTGCCTACTTAATAAGTGCTGGGTCAGGACTTAAACTCTGGCAGTCGAATTCCAGAGCCTATACTCAATCTTGGCTCTCCCCTCCTGCGTGCAGTTTTGTAGGTGGGAAACTAGTGTCAGAGAGGCCAAGTAACATGTCTGACATCACACAGCCAGCACTTCACAGAGCTGGATGTGAGTCCAGAAATCTGGCTGCGGTTCTACCCCTGTGCCTACTGCCTGATAGACTGCCTGCTTCTGATGTATACCATCAACACAACGACTTTCAGAGCTCAAAGTTGGCACGCCCTGCAGCCATTCTGTAGCAGGCTCCACCACACCCAAATTCTCGTCTCAGGCAAAGGTGGAATAGTCACTCACTGATGTCCCCAGTGTCTTCTCCCTGGTCGCCCTGCCACCATTCTCCCCAGCCCCAGTGGTCTTCTGAAACCCAGAGAAGTTTCAGTGCTCTTTGTAAGACTGACTTCTTTATCACCGAACCTTCAAAACTTGCTTTATGTGTATTAACATCATTAAGATGAACAAACAAACTAAACTAAAAAGGAAAAGAAAAAGAAAACCTTCTTATGTCCCTGGCATTGTTCTGAGTGCTTTACAGGGATAAGCTTGTTTGATCTTTACAACAATCCTATGAGGAAGATACGCTAAAATCACCACCTTACAACTGAGAAGACTGAGGCACAGAGAAATTAAATACTTCAATTGCTAACTGACCTTAGGCAACTTACGTAAGCTCGGCGACCCTCAGTTTCCCCAGTTATAGCATTAGGGAGGAGGCATGGTGTGGTTACGAACGTCTCTACACTGGGGTGAATTCTCCCATGGTGGTGTCACCATGGAAGGTTTCTTTGTGTTTCTAGGAGTCCCATGAGTTCACAGGGCCCCAGTGACACCCCCTGGGGCCAGAATGCTTTGGCTTCTGCCACAGTCTTACAGGCTCCACAGGCTTTTGACCATTTTGTTCATGAGTTCCTCAGAGCAGGTTTTTGCACCAGAGGTTTGGTCTGAATCCAAGCCCATACTTTGGTGACCTTTCTGATCTGATTTCCTGTGATGACTTTTTCCACCTACTGCCTATTGGGTGACTCGCTTCCATGCTGCATCCCAGGGTCTGGGGATGGATTTTTTTTCTCCATCTTCTGTGCCCAGAAGAGACAGCCCTTTGTCAGCTCCCAACTTTGTGCAGAGCACTGTTTCAACTCTGCTGTTCCTGAGGCCTCAGCCTTGACCTCTGTCCTCATGTCGGTGTTACAACTCCAATCCTAGAGATCCCAGCATCACCATGGACTGCCTGACTTCAGCCCCCTCTCACCGTTGTGGCTTTGATTTCCTTCTTTATTTCTAGCACCAGGAAGATTCTGTCTTGCTTTTGAGCTCAGGTATCTATTTGAAAAAAAAAAAAAGAGGGGCTGACCCAGTGGCATAGTGGTTTAGTTTGCACGCTCTGCTTCGGTGGTCGAGGGTTCGTGGGTTCTGGTCCTGGGTGCAGACATGTACACCACTCATCAAGCCCTGCTGTGGTGGCCTGCCATAAACAAGATGGAGGAGGACTGATATGTTAGCTCAAGGTCACTCTTCCTCACACACACGCACACACAAGCAATGCTTCCTGTTATATTTTGTGTAGTGTATGTTTGGAGTGTGGGAGGTAGGATATGAACCTCCAGCAGTTCCAGGCTTCCGTCTTGGATTCAGTCCCCGTGGCAAAAAAGAAAAGAAAGTGAAAATAAAATAAAAATAAAAATCCCAGATCTAGCTCAGCATTTACAGCCCCACTTTACCCTTCAGCTAAAATAAGCTCTCCATATTACCATAATCCAGCCATTCTCTATTATCTTTCACCCAGCCTGTTTCATTCATTTAGGTTTCCTGCCTGTGCCTGAAGCATTTGAGCATGTGACTCCTGGTGAAAGCATCCTGTCTTCTTGAGGGTGAATCCATGTCTGGGTCTTCTCTGTGCTCCTGGTACCCAGCCAGGGAATGGCAAAGATCAGGAAGTGAGTGGGGAAGGAGTGAGTGAGTGAAGGACTGGAGGAAGTCCTGAGATTCGGGGTGCAGAGGATGGAGCCACTCCTGCCACCCAGGGAAGTCTCCAGGGAAGTTGGGGAACAGAGATATGCTAACTCCGGCCCAGTGCTCTGGAATCAGACTATCTGAGTTTGAATCCCAGCTCCACCCCTTTCTAGCTGTGTAACTCAAGCTATCTGTCCTGTAGTTTCCTGGTCTGTAAAATAGGGATAATAACTATAGCTATCTTAACGAGTTTTAAATGACATGTAAAGCACATGACAGTGGCCTAGTAAGCACTCAAACATTAGCCATTATTATTATTTGTCATTTATTAAGGGCCTACTGTGTACCAGTAGCCAGAGGGCACCAAGACCATTTGGATTGGGGCTTCCTCCTGGGCAGAGAGACCTGCCCAGGAGGAAGCCGCACTCCAAAGCTTCTCTACTTCCTCCCCCATGACTCGGTTTTTTGGCAGGGGCTGGACTTAATAGCTCTTGAGCAAAGTTTAGGAAGGAGGAGGCTTAAGGGACGTTTCAGGCTCTCAGGCCCACCCCCTGCTTCTCTAGTTAGCAGTGGACTCCCAGGTGGGGCCCAAGGCTGGCAGAAGGGCTTTTGGTGCAATCTCTATGCTTCCACCCTGACTACAAAGAGTGGCTGAAGGTTTCCTGGGGCTGGAAGGTCCTTGGAGTCTCCTCTGTCAGAGCCTAGGAGCCTTTGTTTCCTGGGAAACAGCCTTATCTGCTGGGGTTGTGCGCCTTCAGTCTTGGCCTGGGCTGAGTCTGTGTGGAGGATTTGAGGTGTGGGCTGACTGATATGGTGTGTATGTGTTACCAAACCAGGTTCATTTTTCCCGCCACACAATTCTACCAGTCACCGAGATGATGAGTTTGCAAAGAGAAAGGATTTAATCACAAGGCAGTCAAGTGAGGAGGCGGGAGAATCAATCTCAGATCCACCCTTCTGAAAATGGGGACTCAGGGATATTTATGGGGTAGGGAACAAGGTGGTCTGAAGTGTGGGAATAGATGATTGGAGGTGGGGAGAAGTGAGGTAATTGACGATTTGCACAAGCATAGTCAAGCTTCATGCCTCTTCACAGGATGCATGTTCACAAAATGGCAGCATTACCATGATCTGAGGGTGGAGTTTTTAGCTCCTTGACGTCAAAAAGGTCACTTGTTGAGCATTTGTGCAGGCCTAGTTGATGGGTTGATGGTCTCTACTGGCCTGAACTGGACAAGGGGTCTCAGTCCCTGAAAAACCACCCTTAATTACTCTGTTGATAAGATGGGATCAGTTGAACCAGTCCTGGAGGGCCCGTGGTTATATTTGTAGGGGGATGTGGGTGATGGTCATGATGCTGTACTGGATGAATGTCTGAAGTCCGAGTTATGTGAACATTATGTGAGTGAGAGGCAGGTGGTATTGGGTGTATGCTGTGTGGGTATCATGTGTGAAGTGTGGTCTGGGCTGTATGGTGTGAGGTGTCAGGGGTCATACAGTTGGAAGTGATATTGGAGGTGTGAAGTGTTGAAGGAGTGTATCTGCTGCTGGGGTGCATTTCATGCAGGAATTGTGGGTAGGCTAGATGTGTGGAGGATATGTAGCCTCTGAGGTGTGTGATGTTGTTGGTGGGTGTTTCGGGGAAATATAGCGAACAAACAAAATCTCCCAACTCAGAAAACCTCCCCTCAGAGGTAGAAGAGACAGAAAACACTTTTATTATTATTTTTCTTTTTTTTTAAAGATTGGCACCTGAGCTAACAACTGTTGCCAATCTTCCTTTTTTTTTTCCTTTTTCTCCCCAAAGCCCCCAAGTACATAGTTGTATATTTTAGTTGAGGGTCCTTCTAGTTGTGACATGTGGGATGCCACCTCAGCATGGCCTGATGAGTGGTGCCGTGTCCGTGCCTGGGATCCGAACTGGTGAAACCCTGGGCTGCCAAAGTGGAGCACGCGAACTTAACCATTCGGCCACATGGCCAGCCCCACAGTTTTATTATTATTACTATTATTATTTTTTTTTTTGGAGGAAGATTAGCCCTGAGCTAACATCTGCTGCCAATCGTCCTCTTTTTGCTGAGGAAGACTGGCCCTGAGCTAACATCCGTGCCCATCTTCCTCTACTGTATATGTGGGATGCCTACCACAGCATGGCGTGCCAAGCGGTGCCATGTCCGCACCTGGGATCCCAGCCGGCGAACCCCGGGCTGCTGAAGTAGAAGGTGCGCACTTAACCGCTGCACCACCGGGCCAGCCCCCTACAGTTTTATTATTGGATAAGCACTAAACTAGAATGTGATGTACATCACAGGCAGTCTGCCAAGAGATTGCAAAGGCAGAAGGAAATTTCAGCTTTTCATACAGCCAAGCAAGTACGACCACTTATCCTGTTTTCAAGATAAATTTTCAAAACCCGTGTCTTGTTTTCAAGAAAAACAATAACTAGGCCTCAAGTAAGAGGACTTGACAACACCTTTGGTCACGCATAGTTCATCCCAGCTTTGTCATATCATGGTAACTGACTTTTATCTGGGGAGAAACAAACTTCTCACTTTCTTTATGACAGGAGGTAGTTTTGTATTTTGCATTGTTGACGCAGATAAGCTATAACCAACCTACAAATCAGAATTGGGGTGAGTTTATTATGAGCCAGAGTGAGGATTATAACCCAGGCAGGCCGTCGAAGGCTTTCCGGAGAAGTGTGGGTTTCAGTACAGTCTTATATCTTTTTAGAACAAAGAACGTACATTAAATACACCCAGCATACATTTTCATAAAAATTTCGAAGAGGTATCCAGTTGCAAATTAGCAGGTCAACATGACGGACATGTCAGGAAGGGACTAATCCTGGCATTACCAACAGGCGTAGGAGGGGAAGTATGCATTCTTATCTTAAGAGAGTGCATCCTTTACTTTAATGGTTAAGCAGATGTACAATGTATGTTTGATAGGCCATAAGTCAGGGTTTTTAGTTCAAGCCAAATAAGTTTTTTTTTTTTTTTAAAGATTGGCACCTGAGCTAACAACTGTTGCCAATCTTCTTTTTTTTTTCCTTTCTGCTTTTTCTCCCCAAATCCCCCCAGTGCAGAGTTGTGTATTCTAGTTGTGGGTCCTTCTAGTTGTGGCGTATGGGATGCTGCCTCAACATGGCCTGATGAGCGGTGCCATTCCTGCGCCCAGGATCCAAACCAGCGAAACCCTGGGCCACCGAAGCGGAGCGCGCAAACTTAACCACTTGGGCACAGGGCTGGCCCCTCAAGCCAAATAAGTTTTGAACCCGAATAGTTACCCCATATACTTCAGTATGTGAGAATCTCTTGTCAGCAGCAAGACCCCCCCAAAGTTAGGCTGTTGTTCTCCCCCAGGAACTGGGAAATTGGCAGCTATCTCCCTTGATGTTTGCATTTCAAAAAGATGGCTACAAGGTCCCAGAGTTCCTGGGTTATGAGACTGGCAAGAGGCAGATTTAGCCATTATAAAGCTTTACACACATTTGAAAAGGACCGCGAAAGACAGTCTGAAAGAAAGGAGAGCAGGGAGAAGTCACGTCCCTTATTTTCAGCAGGGAGAATTAAGCCTCTTGTTTTTCATTTGTATTTGCCCTTCCAGATGTTGTTTGTGAGGCGTGTAGTGCTTAGGTGTATGTTGTGTTGACATTGTGGTGAAGTGTGTCTGTCGGGACGTCTGCTGTGAGGGGGGTATGTATGCTGTTGGAGGTAATTCGGAGAGTTGGTTAGTGTTGAAGTGTTGGTCTGGGGTGTGTACTGTGAGGATTTTGCACGTGAGGAGGGGCGTGTGTGAGGGGGGTGGCGTTCAGTGGAAATACTCAGCTCACAACATGATTGGAGGAAACAATAAGGGGGATACCCAGGAGGTCTGAGGCCTAATTCCCTGGTTTCTAAAAAGCAATCCCCAATCCTCCTGCCTCCTCCTCTATAGCCGACGGCTTGAGGACTACAATTCCCAGGATCCCCCGCTCCTCCACCAACCAGGCAAACGGCTCTCTTTAGTGGGCGGGCCTGGGAGAAAGCTGATCAGGAAGAGAAGCAGCTTGGCCAATGGGGGAGCCGGGCCGAATCGAAACCTACGCTCATTGCGCCGAGGCTGATTGGAATCTTTGGCGCCTTGGTTTCAGTGGTAGATGCGTGATTGGCAGATGCCGCGACCAGTGAAAAGGCAGGAGGCGGATCCAGGGAGTGTGGGCGGGGACACGTGCTGACTAACGGGCGGTTTGCCCAATGAAGAGCGGAAGTCGCTGGAGGGGGCCGGGCGAATTGGCTGGGGGCGGGCCACTGTGGTGGCCGTTGGTGTGCCATGGCGGAGCCGGTGAGGAAACGGGGCCGGGGGTCCCGGGGCGGCAGTCGAAGGGCTCGGGGATCCTGCGGCGGCCGGGGCCGGCGTCCTCGCGCCCAGCGGTCTCCAGCCCGGCGCACCCTGGACTCGGTGCTTGTGGACTTGGTCAGCGACAGCGATGAGGATGTTCTGGAGGTCGCAACGGCGTCCAGCGCTGCGGACCCGGTGGAGTCCCCGCTCTCGGAGCCCCCCGTGCCGGCCGCGCCCCGGGACGACAGCGACAGTGACAGCGAAGGGGCTGGCGCACAGCCGCCTGGAGCCCCGCGGGCCCCGGTCAGGCGGCGGCGGCGGCTACTGCTGGATCCTGGGGAGGCGCCGGTAGTTCCAGTGTACTCCGGAAAGGTGCAACCGGGTTCCCGGGAGGGCGAGCGCGGAAGGGCTGGGTTTAGGGAGTGCTGAGGGTAGAGTTCGGAGGGTGGTCTTGCGGGACTAAACGGAAGCAGGGGCTAGGGCCTTGGAGGCAGAGAGATGCAGGGTTCCTGGAGTTTCTGCAGATTGGGGAGATGAAGAGGTTTGAAGTTTGGGATTCCCAGGAGCTGGAGTGTCGGAAGCATAGAGGGGCTAAGGGGCTGGGAGGACCTAGCATTGGGGTTTGGGGCATGTTGGGTTTTGATGTTGTGGCCCATTGCTAAGAATCCAGCAAGCTAAGGTATTGGGGCCTGGAGTCTATGGAAGTTCAGAGAGGACTGGGGTCCCCAGGTGGTAGAGTGAGCTGGTGGACTGGGATTTCCTAGGATTCTAAGATAGTGAGATGGCTGGCAACCTAGTGAAAAGAACTAAACTAGCATCCTCAGAGTGCCTTAGGGAAAGGCGATGTAGGAGTAAGGGTAGTCCGATTTTGGATCCTGGGGAAGCTGGACTCCTGAGTCCGTAGGAGAGGTCTGTGGTGTCTGTATCCTTAGGCAGGACTTGGGAGCTGGAGGAGGCCTGGGTGTGAGGGAAGAATCATCCCATTTTCCCTTTCAGTGGAGGGAGGATTTAGGACTGATCCACTTTTGTCATTACAGGTGAAGAGCAGCCTCCACCTCATTCCAGATCGCCTCCTAAAACTCTGTCCCCCAGGGGCTGAGGAAGGTAAGGGAGGGCTTCCAGGAAGAGGTGCCCATCCCAGCACTGGCCTATCTGAGGAGACTTCCTGGAGTTGACATCTCTGCAGTTAGTTTGTTTCCTGAGGCTCAGGGGAAGGGCATGGGAGAGGTGACTCCGGATTCCTAGTCAGAAAAAAGCTCCAGGCCTCAAAGGAGCTGGATTTTTAACCAGAAGGCACAGGAAGTGCTGTTGAACCACACATCTCCCAAATTATAAGCATAAGAGTGTGCTGATGTACAGATTTCCAGGCACCATCCCCAGAGATTCTGCTTCTGTAATCCTGGGGGTAGGGGAGGGGGAGGTGTCGAGAATCTGTAACATCTTGTTACATCTGCAGCAAGTTCCTTGGGAACACTCTGGAGTCAGCAGGACATTCTTTGCATCTTAGCAGGGCTGCCTAGCTTTTATCCTCCCCTAGTGATGTGCTTTTTGCAAACCGCCCAAGGACAGTGAATGAGAATCAAGTCTAATAAGGAAGTAATCCAGTAGGCAAATGCAGACCTTGGAGCAAGACTTCTGTACCATGAGAGAGTATGGTAGGGTGATTAAGAGCTGATTTAGGAACCAGCTGGCCTGGGTTTGAATCCCAGATCTACCCCTTAGTCGCTTCGCTATGTGACCTCGGGCAAGTTAATCTCATAACGCTTCAAATTCCTCATCAGGAAATTGAGGATAATAGTGGACTTATGTCAAAGGATTTTGGTGAGAATTAATTAAAGAGAATATATAGAGAGCCCTCTCATGGGCTTTGTATGTGGTTTAGGACAGTACGTGGTACGGACAAATGGTATGTAAAAGGTACCTCTGTCCTTGCTTCTCAAAATGTGCGCTCAGTAGTGTTGGGTACCCTCTGGGAGCTTGGGAGTCAGAAATGCAGAATCTCAGGCCTCTGGCAGCTGCCATATTTAACTAGGACAAGATTTCTCACCTTCAGCACCATTGACTTTTGGACTGGACACTTCTTAGTTGTGTGGGGCTGTTTTGTGCATTGTGGGATGTTTAGCAGCATCCTGACTGCTACCCGCTAGACGCCAGTATCATGGCCCAATCCCCTCCCCGCCTCATTGTGACAGCCAAAATAGTCTCCAGACATTGCCACATGTCCCCTGGGAGGCAGAATTACCTCTGGTTGAGACCCGCTGATCTAGGATTAATTGCCATTGTTTTGTTCTCACGGTATTTATTTTTATGGTTAATGACGATCTTTTATTGGTGGCAAGCAAATGGGAAAGAGCTTCTATGTTCTAGAATAATACTTGTTTTCCTTTTATAAGAAATTTAAGTTTAAATGAATGGTTTAAAGAAAGATATTAAACAAATAACACAGATATGGAAAAATGTGATAATGACACTCACATGGATGAAATTTGAGAAACATGGGCTTAGAGGACTGTATTTCTCTGTTTACCTCCCTGTACCCCTTTCCTGCTAGACTCACATAGTCTCTCTATGCCCACCTAATTGAGTATAGAAAGAAAATAGAAACATTTAAAAAAAATCATCCTTTGACAACATCTGTTTTAATGTATGTTTCATAACATACATAATTGTATGTCCATGTATAGTAAGTAGTAGGTGTGTTTTATTTACTCTGTAGTAGTATGTATGTAAATACATGTTTCCCAGGTTGTGTGCTCAGTATTTTTTATTTATGGGTGCATGTAATCAGAAAAGTGAAATGAGCTCTGCAGGCCACTTTCCAGTTGTCCACCCTCACTGCACTGTCTCATGCCTTAGCTCAAGGCTCAGACACTCTCTGGTTCTGTCCGATTCCAGCTCGTCCTTTCTCTGAGTTAGGCATTTCTCTTTTGACTCATGCCTGTTGAGCACTTCCCCAGTGTTATTGTGTGGTCCTGTGTGTGTCTGGGGGCCCTGCAGTCTCCTCCTTTCTCAGGACCTTCTGAAGCCCGTGACTTATGTCTCCTCGGCCTCCTGCTCCCCTCTCTTGGCTAACCTCTTTCCACTTTCTCTTTCTCTGTCCCCAGAGGCGGATATGGCAGATTCTAGCAGTTCACATGCTGAAGATCCCCCATTTCCAGATTCTCCTTGGAAGAAGAAGCTGAGGAGTAAGAATGAAGAAGAAAAGAAAAAGAAGGAGTTGCTGTGAGTGAGGCGGAGGCACTGGGGCCCTGGGAGCAGAAGGGGAGTTGGAGTGTTAGGCTGAGGCAGGCAGGACCCTTGGATGGGTCTTGAAAGGGTAAGGAGAAGGGATGGAAGGAGTCTTGAGGCCAAGGTGAAGAATGAAGCTCTGGGGAGAGGAGGTGGCCTACATCAGAGGATGACAGCAGACCCTTCAGGACCACCCCTCGGAGTGGAGTGTTTCATCCTTGTGTCTGAGACGGTAATAATGCAGGGGTGAAGGGTGCAGCCCTGGAGATAGCCCTTGGGGCTCAGAGCCGGCCACCTGCCTCTTACCTATCCTCTCTGTGCTTCATTTTCCTCTTCTGAAGATGGGGGTAATAGTGGTAGCTGTGTCCGAGAGTTTTTGAGTCAATTAAGAGTTAACCCTGGGCAGGTAGTGAGTGCTCAGTGTCTGCTGGATGTTATCAGACATTCACCTGGAAAGTGACTGACTTACCTTAAAAGTTAGGCATTTTCCTCCATGATATTTGGGTCACATAAATATAAAAATGATGACTCAGGTTTTCCCTGTCCTTACCTCCCCCTGTCTTCCAGTAAGGTAGATGTCACTAGAACATGCTCCCTCTTGATTCTCCATTTTGGTTCCCAGGGGTCCAGAGCCCATGAGGAAAGGTGGGGCCTGGAGTCTCTTCTCTTCCTCCATCCCACCAGTCTCTTCTCTCCGCAGGGCTCAGGATACCTCTCCTTTGCCCCCACCTCTGCCAAGGACCAAAAGCAGAAAGCACACTCAGGCACTCCAGAAGTTAAGGTGCCAAGGGCAGGGGGGCTCTGATTGGGTGGAGTGGGGCACTTGGGTGGAGTGGCCAACCCTGGCTGACCCAAAGTCCTTTCTGCACTGAAGGGAGGTGAACAAGCGCCTCCAAGATCTCCGCTCCTGCCTGAGTCCCAAGCAGTGCCAGGGCCAGGACCACCTGAGCCAAGAGGACGAGGTGGTCCTAGTGGAGGGGCCCATTCTCCCAGAGAGCCCCCGACTCCTCCCGCTCAAAATCCGGTGCCGGGCTGACCTGGTCAGATTGCCCGTCAGGATGGTGAGTGCCTGAAGGGCCTGTGGGAGAAGGGCCCCAGGAGCTGCCTGAGTGAGACAGTGGTGTGCTGGCAGAGGGTACTGTGCCTTCCTTTGCCCATTCTGCTCTCTGGAGCTGCCAGGCTTTACAGGCCTCTGTGCCTTTGCTCTGACTGTCCCCCTTGTCTGAATTGTCTTTTCTTCACTCTCCCCTCTCTTTCTGGCAATCTTCCCACCTGTTCTTCAAGCCTCCATGGAAGCATCCTAAGAAGCTTCGCTTGGCAGCCCCTCTCCAGGGCACGTCCCTCCCTCCTTCCTTGCCTTGGACTGTGCACTGCCCTCTTGCGCTTGCCCTTACTGGATTAGACACACACATGTCCCTCAGTCATTCTGAGCTCCCCCACCTTCCTGGTACAGACTACCATTTTTGGAGGGATGACCCCGATTCCAGAACAAGAATGATAACAGAAATGACCATTTATTGAGTGGTAACCATGCACTGGGCAAGCAACTAAGCCAGAGGTTGCAAACTGGCAGCTCATAGTCTTATCAACAGTGCATCTTCTTTTTTTTTTTCCTTCTTCTTATCCCCAAAGCCCCCAGTACATAGTTGTATGTGCCTCTGGTTGTGTGCATCTTCTTTTTTTTAGTTCATCTTCTTCTCTTGCCCCATACAGTGCTTTTAAAATGTATGAGTTCATTGCCAAGCTTTGCAATGGGTAATTTCATACAAAGGTCCTGATGTCTGGCTTCTCTTAAATACGAAGGTGTAGTCACACTGGCCCGGATTCCCACATGGTGCCAATCCACTGGAGCTGCAGAACAGCTGGCCTGTTTAGATGGGGCATATGAGCTCCAGTTTGCCGCAGTCCCCACCACTCCCTTTTTTTCTTCTGTCCCGTGGCTGCTTCATGTCTTTTTTTTTTTTTTTTGCTTTTTCTCCCCAAATCCTCCCCCCAGTACATAGTTGTATATTTTAGTTGTGGGTCTTTCTAGTTGTGGCATGTGGGATTCTGCTTCAACATGGCCTGACAAGTGGTGCCATGTCTGCGCCCAGGATCCGAACTGGCAAAACCCTGGGCTGCTGAAGCAGAGAGCGCAAACTTAACCACTCGGCCACGGGGCCGGCCCCTGTTTCATTTTTTTGTGTTACTTTCCTGAACCTTGTATTGACATGATTTTATTCTGTACTTTGCCAGGTAAATAGGATGACACTCACAGCTGAGAAGCTCAGCGAGTAGCAAAGGCCAGAAACTTGGGTTGGGGGTGGAGTGGGGTGGGCACAGCAAGGCAGGAAGGCCTCCTTTGCTTCTTGTCCCCCTCCCCAGTCGGAGCCCCTACAGAGTGTGGTGGACCACATGGCTGCCCATCTCGGGGTGTCCCCAAGCAGGATCCTCTTGCTCTTCGGAGAGACAGAGCTGTCCCCTACTGCTACCCCCAGGACCCTAAAGCTTGGAGTGGCTGACATCATTGGTGAGAGGAAGGCAGGGAGGCGGAGCCTCGAGGAGGCTTTGCCCCAGGGAGGGCTAAGGGGAAAGGCCTGGAGGGGCCCTGCTTCCAACTGCCACTCAGGCCTGGCTTCCTGATTCTGCCTCCCATAGACTGTGTGGTGCTAGCAAGTTCTCCAGAGGCTGCAGAGACGTCCCAGATGCTCCAGCTGCGGGTGCAGGGGAAGGAGAAACATCAGATGCTGGAAGTCTCGCTGTCTCGAGTGAGTGGGAGGGATGGCTCTCCAGGCCCCACAGCCTGTTCTCCGCCATCTCTCTTGTCAGTTAATGGAGGATGGACTCCTCCTAATCCTGACTCGGTGGGGACAGTCCCCTCCGTGGTCTTGGGTTCCTGCCCATCCTGATAGTGGGAATGCCCATGATTCTTCCCTCCCCTTCTGCTGGGAACCTCTACTCTAGTCTTCTAACTCCTCCTTCCAGTTAAAGTGCAAAGGACCCTTGGGCAGTAACCAATAAAACCCATCAAAATAACAGTTAAAGCCACCCTTCTAAGTGACAGTCCCTGTGCTAAGGATGATTACTTCACATGCAGGGTATTCTTGAATTTCACAATAACCTTACATGGGAACGCTCTGTCATTACCCTCATTTAACAAACAAGGAAGCCGAGGTCTAGGGAGGTGGAGTCACTTGCTGAATTAGTTTCCTTGGGCTACTGGAACAGCGTGCCACACACTGGGTGACTCAGATCAATTTCTCTCACAGTTCAGGAGGTTAGAAGTCTGAAATCAGGGTCATGCTCCTTCTGAGACTCTGGGTAAAATCCTTCCTTGCTTCTTCCAAGCTTATGGTGGTGGCTGGGAATCCTTGGCATTCCTTGGCTCACAGCTTCTGTCACTCCAGTCTGCCTCTTTTGTCACACGACCTTCTCCCTGTGTGTCTCTGTTTTCTCTTACAAGGACACCAGTCAAGTTGCATTAGCACCCACCCTAATCAGGTATCACCTCATCTTAACTTGATTGCATCTCCAAAGGCCCGACTTCCAAATAAGGTCACATTCACATTTACTAGGAATTAGGACCATAGGTATCTTTTTGGGGGACATAATCAACCCATGACACTTGCCTAAGGTCACATGCAGTTCAGTGGGAGATCTGGCCCCCAGCTGGGAGCATTCTCACTCTGGAGTCTGGGCTGTCTTTATCGTGCTACACGCCTCCATTGGTAGGTGACAAGACCAGGTTTTGGAGAACCTGCCTAACCCAGAGCCCACGCTCCTAAGCCTTGGGCTCCAGAGCCCCGTTCCGTAGAGAGGAACCCAGCTGTGCTGGTTTCTTCATCTGCTTGCCTTCCCCTCCTGGGCTCTGACTTGACTTGTCCTCTTGTCCTCCTTGTCCTCCTATCCATCCCTACAAGTTCTCCCCAGCCCCTCTTTTCAAATTCTTACATCCATTTTGTCCTCTCCATCCAGGATTCTCCTCTTAGGACCCTCATGTCCCGCTACGAGGAGGCCATGGGACTCTCCGGCCACAAGCTCTCCTTCTTCTTTGATGGGACAAAGCTTTCAGGCAAGGAGCTTCCGGCTGATCTGGGCATGGAATCCGGGGACCTCATTGAGGTCTGGGGCTGAAACCCCACTCCCTGTTTGGAGGCCCAGCTTGCACTTGGGGAGAACAGCTGCCCCTTTTTGGCCCCATAAGGCCTAGCTGAAGCTGAGGTAGAACTTCTCTTTAAGCTGAAGCAAAATCAAGGAATGCTCTTTGACCCCCTTCCCATTGACCGTGGTTTGAAGCCGTTAGTTAGCTGGTTGGTTGTGTGGTCGTTGTTGCTGCCCTGGGTGCACTGTGGCTCATCCACGTGTGCTGAGCTCTGCAGCCGCCTGGGACGTGGAGAATGTATCCCTCACCCCCGTCCTTTCACCTCCACCATCACCCTGTCCTTCGTGAAGATGTCTATTTTATGAAACTGCTCATATTTAAAGAGTGAGTTAAAATAAGTAAGTGTTGGGTATGGGATTCCAGGCCTGCGATTTATACCATGTTTCGGAGCAGCAGTGGCCTTAATGTCATTTGGGGGTTGGGAGTGAAGTTTGCTTGAAGCACATACACAGGTGTGGTTCCTTGGCTTGCAGAAAAATAAAGGATCAAACTCACACACACGTTAGCTTCCGCAGAGGCTGACAGTTGGTTACTCTTTTGAAGGTTGTAGTGGATTCTCAGGCTTGGCTGTCTTCCTCCTCCCAGGACCCTTTATAACCACCTACTGATGCACACATATTATTAAAGGCATAATTGAGCACACCGAGCCTTTTGGTTTTGGATCTCAGGATTATAGTCCACTCAAGGCTTCTCTGGTTTTATGACTTTTTCTGCTTTCTTCACGCCATCCTCTCCCATAAGCACCCATTCTAATGTGGTGATTACATGTCTTTGAATATGAATGTATCCTTGTAAAACGCGGTGTTGTATGTGTGAATATACTTTTTACATCTGCAGCCTTGTGCTAGAGATCTTGCGTTGTATCCTTTTTCACTCAACATGTGTTGCTCATTCTCCGCCTGCTTCATTGCTTTGAGCTGCTCTCTGGTATTCCACAGTGGGTGTCAACTGCATTTTACTCATGTTTGCTACATGCTGGACACCTGGGTGCCTCTAGCTCCTCAGCACGTAGACAAGGCCACAACGAACATCCTTTCATGTGTCCCCTTCTGTGCTTGTGTGGAAAGTTCTCCAGCAGAGGTACCTAAGATGGGTTTGATTACGGGTCAGACAGGTTAATTTCTCTCTGGTTCTACCAAAGTTTTGTTTAGCTTGGTCACTGACCTTCCCACTTGAGGCTTCCCATTTCTCCTTATCCTCACCAGCACCTGTCATTGCCCAACTTCCTAATTTTTGGCAGTCTGATGAGTGTAAAATGGCACTGTGTTTTCATGTACATTCATCCGATTTGGGGAATTTTTCATATACCTGTAGCCTTTCTGGTTTCCCTTGCTGTGCACTGCTCATTTCTCTTTGCTTATTTTCTCATGGGAGCCTTCTGTCTTTTTTTGTTTATTTTCAAGAGTCACTTGTGTATCTCTGGGTGGTTGCAAATAAAGAATAGCACTTGTGTTTGTATATCTAGGGGTGCCCTTCACTGAACAGAAGTTCTTAATTTTAATGTAAATGAATTAACTATTTTGTCATATCATCTGTTATGTTTTGATTTCTTATTTAAAAGTAGTTAAGATGTTTTACATTTTCTTCTGTTAGCTTACTAGTTTTCCCTTTCACATATAGATCACTAAATAGGGCTGAAGTCCAGCCGGTACAAGCTGGTATGTGCACTGGCTGGCATCTCTTCTGCATGGTCAAACATTTGTTCTCATCGGTGGATGCCAGGCTGTACTGGCTGCTAAATATTTTAAACTATTGGAAATTCACCTTTGTATATGAGATCCAAGTTTTATTTTCACCCCATAATGAGCCAGTTTTCTCAGTGCTGTCTACTAATAAAACCATTTCCCACTGATATGTGGTATAATTTTGGCAAAAGTTTATCACCTTCCTAAAAATTTTTTTGTTGGAATATGGCATTCCTTTGAACTTGTAATGTGGGAAAAATACACATAATAAACCTTTATAACATTTAAATAATCCATGTTATGGTATAGCTCTCATTTTTTTCAGATCTTTTATGTCCATTAATAAGTTTGAACACATTAGGGGGCTGGCCTGGTGGCGCAGCGGTTAAGTGCTCACGTTCCGCTTCAGCAGCCCGGGATTCGCCAGTTTGGATCCTGGGTGCGGACATGACACTGCTTGGCACGCCATGCTGTGGTAGGCATCCCACATATAAAGTAGAGGAAGATGGGCATGGATGTTAGCTCAAGGCCAGCCTTCCTCAGCAAAAAGAGGATTGGCAGCAGTTAGCTCAGGGCTAATCTTCCTCAAAAAAAAAAAAAAGAAAAAAGAAAAAAAAGTTTGAACATATTAAAATTATGTATTCAGTCACAACAGAATAAAAGATAATACATTCAGTTTGTGTATACTTGAGGATTTCCATCTTTACGGCCCTTGTGGGACCCCCACTATGGCCCCTGTGACTGAGACCAGTAGTTGTCCCCTTGCATCCATTCTTCTTCCTTCCAGGGTAATAGAAGCCCTGGTTTTCAGCCAAGCACAGAGACTTGAGAAGGAAGACAGTACCTCCCAGCCTTCCTCGTCACCAGGTGTAGCCAAGTGCCAATTTAGGCTCATGGGGTGCAGGGGGAAGAGGGATGTGGCCTCCAGGATGTGTCCATAAGGGGGCGGTGTGTGTCCCTCGCCTTTGCTTTCTTCTGCTGCTGACTGGAAGTGGAGCAACCTTACTGACAAGAGGTGACCCTGGGGAAGGAGGCCACGCAGGGCAGGACACGGAGAGCAGCAGCCTGCGTGTCAGCCTCTCTGCAGCATCTTACCGGCCCCACTGACCTTTGGGCTTTCACGGGAAAGAGGAACTTCTGTCTTGTTGAAATCACTGCTATTAGAGGATTTCTGTCCCTGGTCACCAAACCCAGCTCTAGCCGCAGGATGTTGCTATTGCCTACAACTGCAGCAACCCTCTTGGATCCTGTTGGGCGCTGGGTGAGACTTCCTTCGGTTTATGTCCAGGAGTGGAATCACGAGCTGTTGAAATATGCAGCTACCCAGTTTCTCTTGAGTACTGAAGGACTGCTGATCCAAGTGGCTGGCCCTCTTTATAAGTACATTAGCAAGTGCTAGAAGGTTCCAGTTTCCTCTTATCTTCCCCAGCACTTAATCTGGGAAGGATATGAAAAAGACTACTCATTGTAAAAGAATTTGCACTTCTTCTATGATGAGAGAGATTGTTCATTCTCTTGATCAGAGATTGATCACTTGTCAGTGATCTTTCTAAAACTCTCCTGATTAGAAAACTTTAAAACTTTAATGAGCCCTTACTCAGTGCCACATACCAAGCTTGGCAATTTTCGTAATCTCATTTGTCCTCAGAGCAATCCTATGAGATTGGTGGTGGTGTTATTCCCATTATACAGAAGACAAGCAGAATCTTAGAAAGATTAATTAACTTGCCCCAGACTGTCACACAGCCACCGAATGCACAGCCAGGTGTAAAACCAGGTGGGCCTGACACCTGACTTCGAATTCTTAAGGAGACCAGTGCTCACACTTTCATGTGCACAAGAGTCAGCTGTGGAGCTGGGGGAAAGGCAGATGCGGATTCAGCCTCTCAGGGGTGGGGCCTGAGTCGCTGCCATTCTAACAAGCTCGCTAGTTTTGCGACACTGCTGACCACACTTCCAGTGGCAAGACACTGTGACTTTTTCCCGTAGCCTCACTTTTAAAGCCTCCCATCTCCCCACCCCAGCCATTCCCTCCAACTTAGGGGTCAATTCCCCCATAAAGCCCCCATAGGACTGGCCGTGTCCTCTTGTGTATCCCACCTCAGCCTGGAACAGGGGTCCAGCTCAGCACACCCTTAGACCCATTGGTCTATGTCTTGGTCTTCTCAAAGATCCCTAGCTTGGTGTCTGACACATCATAGTTACCTAGCAAATGTTTGTTGAATGAATAAATAAGTTTCTTGTCTCAAAGAATCCATCTCATTGCATGTGCCAGAAACCTAAAGTTTCACTCTTGACACCAGTTTGTCCCCATTTGCACTCCATCACCAGCCAACTTAACTGCCCCAAGCGGTTCTCAAAGCTGTAGACTTCTCTCACTCCATCCCATCCTGGTGCGAGCCATCACTGCCTCAAGCCTAGTCTAGTGCCATAGCCACCTACCAGGTTGCTCTGCTGCTCCTCTGGCCCCCTCCAATCTGTCTACACTGCAGCCAGAGTGATCTCAAACGCAAATCTGATTCTAATATGAAGGAGATCCTTAACATGGCCTAGGCCCTGCCCAGCCTGGCCTCTGCCTGCTCCCCAGCAGGCCTCCCTCTCTCTGTGCTCTCCACACTGCCCTTGTTTCAGATCCTTGTGTTCATTATGCTTCATTCTGTGGCAGGGCCTTTGCACATGCTTTCCACATGCTTTCTTTCTTTCCTCCTGGGCATAGTCAGTGATTACCCCTCCCCACATCTGAACTCAAGGGCCACTTCCTCAGAGGAGCTTTCAACCTCACTGACCAGGTCAAATGCCCCTGTTATCAGGTCCTTCTAACACTCATATGCTGGACTTTTTTGTGGCACTTGTCATAGGTAAACTTTTTTTTCAAGAAATTCCACATGTATTTATATTTCATGAATCACAATTTCCAAAGCAAATAGAGCAAAAGTTGGGGTCCAGTTTAAACCAATTATCTGTACATATTTATTTATCTGACTTTAAAAGAATTTTAATTGAGAGATCCATCAAATTAAAAAGCACCTGTACTCAGAGGGGAGCCAAATATTTTTTCCCATTTGGCAAAACTAATTAGCATTGAAATATTTACCTTTATAACTACAAAATTTTATTTTCATTAATGTCCAGTGCTATTGTGTTTGGACTACAGGGTTTTTTTAAAAAAAAAATTTATTGTTTAATTTACATGGCTAAACATGCACCCATTTTAAGTACCAGCTCAATGAGGTTTAGAAGACGTACAGTCGTGCAAATGTATGCACTCCTCCTCCCCCTGACCCCAGGCAACCACTCATCTGCTGTCACTTTAGTTTTGCCTTTTCTGAATTTTCACATAAATGGAATAACACAGTGTGCAGGCTTTTGTGTCTAGCTTCTTTAACTTAGAACAATGTTTTTTGAGATTTATCCATGTTGTGTGTATCACTGAGTAGTATTCCATTGTACATACAACTCACCTGTTGATGGACATATGGGTTTTTTTCATTTTTTGCCTATTATGAATAATGTTTCTATGAACATTTACATACAGGTGGGGTTTTTTTTGTTTTTTTGAGATTAGCCCTGAGCTAACATCTGCCGCCAATCCTCCTCTTTTTGCTGAGGGAGACTGGCCCTGAGCTAACATCCGTGCCCATCTTCCTCTACTTTATATGTGGGACGCCTACCACAGCATGGCGTGCCAAGCGGTACCATGTCCGCGCCCGGGATCCGAACCGACGAACCCCGGGCTGCCGAAGTGGAACGAGTGCACGTAACCACTGTACCACGGGGCTGGCCCCCACATACAGGTTTTTGTTTGGAGGTGTTTTCATTTTTCGTTGATAGATACCTAAGAGTGGAGTTGCTGGGCTATATGGGAAGTATATGTTTAATTTTTAAATAAACTGCCCAACTATTTTCCCAAGTAGCTGCACTATTTGCATTCCCACAAGCATGGCATGAGGGTTCTAGTTGCTCCATATCGTTTCCGGTACTTGGTATTATCATGGCTTTTCTTTTTTTTTAGCTACTCTAGTACAGTAGTATCTTATTGTGGTTTTAATTTCTATTTTCCATAAAGACCAATGGTGTCATATACTTGTTGACCATTCATATATCTTCTTTTGTGAAATGTCTGTTTAAATCTTTTGCCCATGTAAAAACCTGTTTTTGTTCTTTTGAGTTTTCCTTTTGACTTGGACAAATTTTATTCCAGTTTTATTCACAAATAATCGACATACATCTCTGTGTAAGTTTAAGGCATACAGTGTGATGGTTTGATTTACATATATTCTGAAACAATTACCACAATAGGTTCAGCTAACATCCATCTTCTCTTATAGATACAAAAGAAAGAATAAAGGAAAAAAATGTCCTTGTGATGGGCACTCTTAGGATTTACTTTCCACAACTCTCCTATATACCGCACAGCAGCGTTCCCTGCAGTCATCAGGTTGTACGTTACATCCCTAGTGCTTATTTATCGTATAACTGGAAGTTTGTACCTTCTGACCGCCTTCCTCCGATTCCCCCTCCTCCCGCCTCTGCCTCTGGTAACCACAAGTCTGATTTTTTTTTCCTATGAGTTTGTTTTTTAGATTCCACTGTTTATTGCATTTTAAGAGTTCTTTATACATCTGGATATAAGTCCTTTGTCAGATACATGCTTTGCACATATTTTCTTCCCATCTGTGGCTTGCCTTTTCATTTCACAGGTGCAGTTTACGTATGTATGGCTATGCCTCCTCCAGATAAGCTCCATAAGTGCAGGGACGAAATCTGTTTTTGCCTGACACCTGGTGCAATGCCAGGCACATAGTAGATGCTCAATATATATACATATATATATATATATACACACATTTTTTTTTTGAGGAAGATTAGCCCTGAGCTAACATCTGCTGCCAATCCTCCTCTTTTTTGCTGAGGAAGACTGGCCCTGAGCTAACATCCATGCCCATCTTCCTCTACTTTATATGTGGGACGCCTGCCACAGCATGGTTCAACAAGCAGTGCGTAGGTCTGCAGCCGGGATCTGAACCTGCGAACCCCCTGCTGCTGAAGCGGATGTGCGAACTTAACCACCGTGCCACTGGGCTGGCCCCTGATTTTTTTTTCAGGAAATTCAGTGACTACAATCTGAAGTTCGTCTCCATCTCTTTCCCTAAAACCCTTGGGGAGACCAGACTTAAGGTTGTGAAACATGAAGTATCTCCTGGGGCAACCCTAAGAGGGGTATTGATGACTCAAAATAGTTTGTGATAAGATGTCTTGGGAGCCCCATGCTCTCCCCATGAAACTCAAGAATT